GAATGCTGGGGGCACAGTTTCCATCCCTGGTTGGGGAACTAGAATCCCACATGCCACACGGTGCAGCCAAAAATATTTTTTTAAAAAAAGAACATTTTATTGCTTTTTAAAAATATTTGAAGTGTTTAAGATGGATTACACTTTATTCTAGTTAGGATTTCTAATATTTTCCATGTCAAAACCAATTTTTGTAAGCAGATTTTGCCTCTTTATCTTTGTTATAAAATTAAAAGTCCAAATGAAATGTACATGAAGACATTTTATTAGTGATTTAAGATTACATTAATCTTTAAAATTTCTGAATGAAGTTGGTTTCTTAATAAAATTCAGGATAAATGCTATAGTAGTTAATTAAAACACAAAGGTGAATACCTTCCATGGAGAAAGATCTGAAATAAATTTCCATATCTGCAGGCTGACTAGTTTTCAAGGGCATTTAGCTGTTTCTTCCATGCTGCTAAGAGGCAAAATGAGTTAATTGAAATTTTCCTTTCCGTTCATTTCCCTAAAGATTAGAAAAGCACACCAAAAGCCTTGCTTTTCCCATTATTTATTTACCTTCCTCTCTGGGGATTTTTCCTACTGGTCAGCTAATCAGAGTGGGCAGTATTATTTTAGCAGTAGTAAACAATAACAGCAATAATAACTATAATATTGGCCCCTGTCAGTATACCACTGGATACTTTGTGTTCACTTATCTTATGAATTCTGGGACTTCCCTGGTGGCGCAGTGGTTAAGACCCCGAGCTCCCAATGCAGGGGGCCCGGGTTCGATCCCTGGTCAGGGAACTAGGTCCCACATGCATGCCGCACCTAAGAGTTCACGTGGCACAACTAAGGAGCCCACCTGCCACAACTAAGGAGCCCTCAAGCCGCAACTAAGACCCGGCACAACCAAATAAATAAATGTTAAAAAAAAAATCTTATGAATTCTGTATAATTATCCCATCCTAGAGTTCATGCTGAAGTTATGAGAGATTAAGCCACTTGTTCAAAGTTACACAGTAGACAGTGGAGTTGGAGATTGAATTCTCCAGAGCCTGTGCTCTTGACCACGTACATCTAAAATGCAGCCTTGTTTCAACTGTTCATGTCCAAACAACACGGATGAAAAGTATTGCCCTCTGATTCAGCCTTGACACCAGCTTCATGTCCCAATCCCCCCCAGATTCGTCGGGTACTGCTGCCACCTTGCAGCCCTGTTCCCCTCTGTTTGGCATCCCTGTTCTGCCTGTGACAGCAGGCACTGCTGCAGATGGCTGAGTGTTGCTGGCCGCACTCCCTATCTGCCTCTCCAGACACTCCCTTTTCCTCTGGTTGCCGGCATATTCCCTCTACTCCACCCTGTGGCTCCTGTATCCTGTTCTTCCTGTCTGCCGCATTGTGTCTGAGTAGGCTTTCCATATCTGCTGACGACACTGACTGCTAAGCAAAAAGAAAGAGGGAGATTTAAGGCCAGGACAAGAAGCCAATCAATATGGAGGATAAAAGGTCACAGGAGAACCATAATTAAAATGTGAATCCCAGACAGAAAAGAATGGAATAGATGGGAAGAGGAATTGAGAGTTTTAAAATACTGCGAACCTATAGGAAAGACTGGAAACTCCCATAACGTGGAGGACAGAGGGAAATAAAAATACTTCTATGGTTCAAATTGATATTCAAGAGTCTATGAATAAGTACAGTAATCGCTAATATCTGTACTTACATGAGATCAGAGTCCTAAATACCAGCAAAACGCTTCGGAAATCTGGCACCATCTTTTCGCGGGCCTCTCACTGCCGCGGCCTCTCCCGTTGCGGAGCACAGGCTCCGGACGCGCAGGCTCAGCGGCCATGGCTCACGGGCCCAGCCGCTCCGCGACACGTGGGATCTTCCCGGACCGGGGCACGAACCCATGTCCCCTGCATCGGCAGGCGGACTCTCAACCACCGCGCCACCAGGGAAGCCCCTGGCACCATCTTAATAGGTAGCGTCGATCAAACGTGTATCTCCTTTGAATCTTTTTTTTTTTTTTAATCCTCATAACAGCCCAATCGGGAAGGTATTATCGTCATTTTTGTAGGTTATGAAACTGAGGCAACTGAAAGGGTAGAACAACTTCTCCAAGACCACCGGCAAGTGAGTAGCGGAGCCAGGCAGGAAACCTAAGCGGGCTGGCTCCAGACGCCCTGCTCTCAACACTCCTCAGCCCGCCCAGAAAAACTCTCCCTCACATGAAACCCCCAGTCTGGGCCTCGCAGTAGGGACTGCTATCCGCCTTTCAAGGAGGAAGGCTGGCTTTCACAAATAGTACCTTCTCCTCCACAGCATCTCCAAGGCCGAGGGCGAGGTCAGGCTGGCTTCTCCCTATTCTGTGCTCTCCTGGGATTCGAGGTCGGCGAAGGAGCACAGTTCACAATTCAACAAGCCCGGAAGTGGCTTATATTCTACTAGAGAATCCCAGAGCCCACTTACAAAGGTTGCATTTTTATTTGGTTGCCTGAGTGGAGAAAGAAAATTAAAACGTACTGTACCATTTTTAATTAATCAACTGCGTGACATGCCTCTAAAATAATTTTCTTAGGTTCATTGGCCACATACTCTCTCTTTTCTTCATGTGATGATTTTGCAATATTATTTTTATGGAGAGAATACAAAGAATTAATTTTCTCCTCTAGCTTAGAATATTAAAATTTGGTTGTTTTTTTGTTTTGGTTTGGTTTGGTTTTTTTTTTTTTTTTTCGGTACGCGGGCCTCTAGCTGTTGTGGCCTCTCCCGTTGCGGAGCACAGGCTCCGGACGCGCAGGCTCAGCGGCCATGGCTCACGGGCCCAGCCACTCTGTGGCATGTGGGATCCTCCCAGACCGGGGCACGAACCCGAGTCCCCTGCATCGGCAGGCGGACTCTCAACCACTGCGCCACCAGGGAAGCCCCTCCATGAAGTTTTTCCTGAGTCAATGATGCTATATTTGTCCTCAGTTTATCATTGTATACAGCAGCCTTACATCTTACACAGGAGTTAGGCTCCAAAGTCAGCGAGCAAGGACAAAAAATGTTATAGTGCAAAAGATCTCTCGAAATTTCCTAAGAAGGTGCCAAGTTAGAGAGCAATTACCGCTCTCCCTAGGTCAAGGGCACTCTCCTTAAGCACTACAAAGCTAAAGTCAGCCGTGGCTTGGCGAAATGTCCAAGCTGTGAAGGACACAGGAACTGAGCAGGACAGTTCCTTTTTTTTTTTTTGGCGGTGCCACGAGGCTTGTGGGATCTTAGTTCCCCAGCCCAGGCCCGCAGCAGTGAAAGCACTGAGTCTTAACCGCTGGGCCGCCAGGCAGTTCCCAGGACAGCTCTTCATCTCCCATAACACAATCCCTCCAAAGCGTGTGGCAGCTGAGAAGCATGTGACTCCCCACTTAAATCCTTCTCTTAGTCTCAGTGCATATGGCTGACTTCCTGTAAATTAAATGCACAGGTGATAGGATTCTGATTTCTGGTCCCACCACTTACTGGATATGTAACCATGGCCAAGTTATTTAATCACTTATTTTCTCTACCCCTCAGTTTACATCTGCAAAAAGGAACAGTAATAAGGCCCAATTAATAAGCTTGTTGTAAGGGTTAAATTGTTGATAGTTAACCTGTAAAATAATACGATTTACCTTCTAGGCTTTCAATGAAAATTAGATGCGCTTACATATATAAAGCACTTAGGAAAGTGTCTTGGCCTATGTTAGTGCTCAATAAATATTACCTACTTTTAAAAGTTTTTAAAAAATCTTATTGAGGTACAGTTGACTTACAATGTTGCGTTTAATTTCTGCTGTACAACAAAGTGACTCAGTTTTACATACATATATATTCTTTTTCATATTCTTTTCCATTATGGTTTGTCACAGGACGTTGACTATAGTTCCCTGCACTCTACAGTAGGACCTTGTTGTTCATCCACCCTCTATATACTAGTTTGTCTCTGCTAATCCCAATCTCCCAGTCCTTCCTTCCCCCACTCTCCTCCCCTTTGGCAACCACAAGTCTGTTCTCTATAAATATTACCTGTTATTATTACTTATCTCTCTGTCTTACTTTCTTCTGCTGCTTGTAAAAGATTCGATGAGAAGCACTTCACTATCGCAGAGCAAGTACTCTGTAAGGGTTAGGTATTATCATTATCATTATTATCATTTCACTACTGTGTCCTCCGTATTGCGAGTTTCTTGGGGGCAGGGACATTATCTTTCACAACTTTGTGTCCTTGCAGTGACTCAAAATAGTGCCCGGTGCATATGTCACTCAAAAGATAGTCGAAAATCAGATAATGTTTCCCCCCTCCAAATTCTTGTTACATGGATTTAATTTTTACAAGTTCATAAAGAAATAAACGCAGTGTGTATCCATGAATACCTGAATGGCTCTCCTACCCTCTGAAACCGTCTTTACCATCTTGGGCACAACGCTTCATCGCAAGAACTCCCCCAGGGGGCGCTGAAGAACTTCCTGAATAAGGACTTATTCACGTACCAGAGTTGGAATGTGAATTACTTGGGGGTAAATGTTGACTTTGGCTTCTCCGAGTTTTACTGAGGACATTTGTACCATAAAAACTGATCTTTAAAGCTAGTAATTCATGATCTGTGGTTTGAAACCACCTTGGAAATGATTCCAGGACACCAAGAAACATATAATCCTAGATTTGTAACTGATTACAATTTTTTTTCTATCTTAGGTCTCCTGTCTTTTAAATAAAGATAATACCAACTGACCTCAAAACCTTGGTGACGAATAATAAACATGATGCTTAGGAAGTTAACGTGACGAGAGGACTAGAGTCTATTAGTTAAAAGACTCCATTGTCAGTATGTGTTTATGTGTAGCTGATTCACTTTGCTGTACAGCAGAAACTAACACAACGTTGTAAATCAACTACATTCCAGTAAAAATTAATTTAAAAATAAAAGACTCCATTATCAGAGATAATTCTTTCCATATGTGTACTTATTAGGAAGGTTTTTCCCTTTTTACAGCTCACATCTTTCAAAGGGACCACGTGGAGAGAGAGAAAGGGAGACTCTCAGACGGCAGCATCACTGAAATAACCTTTCCAGTGAATGAGATAGATGACAGAGGTGTCAGCCAGATAGAGCCCTGTGGACCCAGGTAGGTGTCAAATACTCCTCTGTCTTAGTTTAACAAATGGGAAAACATTATTCTCCTAGCAACTGGTGTGATCTTTTCTCTTAGGAATGAGACCCACCTCTGTTGGGAAAATTCCATGGCGAGCCTGCTTGGAAGCTGAGACCTAAGTGTGAGGAAGCACTGCCCAGCCTAGAACAAGGAGAGGGATTTGTTGATTGCAGTGGAGAGGGCTTTGGGGAGGCTGAGCTGTTGAGATGACAGAAAGCTGGCTGTGCCCTGTGAGATGCATCCGTCCAGCGACCTCACAAACCCTTAGCAAAGTTATTAACCTTACACAGTACTTGGCAGATAAGGAATTCAGTGGAAACAGTGAAGGCAGTGCTCCTAACGTCCACCTTGGCCTAAGGCAGCGACACAGGGAGCCCTGAGGAAGCAAGCTTCCAGGGATTCACAGAAATCTCAAACCCGGACCCCGACTCTGACAGTCCATCAATTTACGTGGGTGCCAGCACCAAGTTTTCCTAAGTCTCTGAAGGGTGGGAAGGCCCCAATCCCATCTGGTTTACATTAGTAGTAATAGTAAGATAAAGGTAGCTTATTTACAACATTATGCATCTTTAAACAAAATGGAGGGAAAATAAGAAAAAAACATTTTTAAGTACTTTGAAGTCAAACAGTAGAGCATTTTGCCTACAAAGCCAGGCAGACCACTTTTACTATGAGAGCAGAAATAAATGATAAGAAGGGAACTTCCTTGCTGTGTTAACAATTTTGAGCAAAGTGTGGGAAAATACTTTAAAGCAGAGATTGTTTTGCTTTATTCCAACACCTATCCAGAAATCAAGGGTCCTCAAACAGATATTTGAATTTTATCCTTTCTTATCTGAAGATTTAGTTTTTTAGAATAAAGTTAGCTTTTTTCTTATTAGAAAAATAACACATGGCTATTTTTTTTTTCACATGGCTATTTTTAAAGTTTTAAAACACAAGAGGATAAATCCACACCTTTAAAAAATTTTTTTTAAATTTTTTTAAAAACCCGAACTCCTGGGACTTCCCTGGTGGCGCAGTGGTTAAGAATCCACCTGCCAACGCAGGGGACACGGGCTTGATCCCTGGTCGGGGAAGATCCCACATGCTGCAGAGCAACTTAGCCCATGCGCCACAACTACTGAGCCTGCGCTCTAGAGCCCGTGAGCCACAACTACTGAGCCCACGTGCCACAGCTACTGAAGCCCATGCACCTAGATCCCGTGCTCCATAACAAAGACAAGCCACCGCATTGAGAAACCCGCGCACCACAATGAAGAGTAGCCCCTGCTCGCCACAGCTAGAGAAAGCCCGTGCGCAACAACAAAGACCCATCGATGAAGACCCAGCGCAGCCATAAATTTTATTTTAAAAAACCCAAAACAAAAACTAACAAACAAAAAACCCAAACTCCCTCATGGTTTTCAGGGAAGTTTTTATTTGTTTATTATTTAGTTATTTGTTTGTTTTTGGCTGTGTTGGGTCTTCGTTGCTGCGTGCGGGCTTTCTCTAGTCGCGGCGAGCAGGGGCTACTCTTCGTTGCGGTGCGCAGGCTTCTCACTGTGGTGGCTTCTCTTGTTGCGGAGCACGGGCTCTAGGTGCACGGGCTTCAGTAGCTGTGGCACACAGGCTTAGTTGCTCCGTGGCATGTGGGATCTTCCTAGACCAGGGCTCGAACCCGTGTCCCCTGCATTGGCAGGCGGATTCTTAACCACTGCACCACCAGGGAAGTCCACGCCTTTTTAAAATTATACAGTAAATTGATCTCCAGCCTCCATGAAATGCAAAGATCATTCTCAGTATGATAGGAATAGTGTATGCTGAGGGTGAGTTAGAGGTGAAGGTTACAGAACTGTCATTGTAGCTTCGGGAAAAAAGGTAAAAGAAGAAAGAACTTTTCACTTTACACATTGAATTAGCTGGACCCCTGGTGGCACACAACAGAAGCTGATTTGAGTCAACTTAGCCAAACATGGCAATAAGTTTATTGGCTCACATGTCGAACTGTAGGACAGGGAAGGACAACTGTATCGAAACCTCTTACTTTCAGCATGCTCCCTCTCCATCTTTCTTCTCTGCTTCTCTTGCCAGTTTCAGTTTATTCTCTCAAGCCAGCTGCTGCATGAGAGATACTGTGGCCTTCAGGCTCACATCTTCACCATGTGCGTGGGCCTCATAGATAAGAGAGTGGACCAATTCTTACCAATAACACGAGTGCTATTTCCAGAAGAATAGAAAAATTTTGGAAGAAAAAACTTTTTCGGTATATCCTTTGCTGTCTTCCTTACCACATACACTAAAACACATACTCTTCCTCCCATACATACAATTCCAAAAATGTCCTTGTCTAGCCACTACGTAGCCACGCGTATCCTTGTCCCAGCTCCAGGATCTTTATGTTAGGTCAATTCACCATCAGGATGGATGAGGGGGCCTCATTTCCTTATAACTTACAAATAAACAATAAACCTAAATCTCCTCAATGCACCTAAATATACCATGGGTGGGGGAAAAAAATAAGATAAACATTCTTTCAAAAGGAAGGAATGTTCAAAAGAGGGAAAACTGAGAAAGCAACACTCAGAACACAGACCACTTCTTCCTGGACAGGGATAGCAAGTCTGTAGACTTAAAGCATTGAACTTTGAAGGGTGCTTTGTAGAGGGTACTACTAAGGCTCTATGTGTCTACAAATATCCTAGTTGAATGGGCAGAATTGTAAGTTTATAGATAGGGTACAACTGCTGCTGTTTCCACGTGGTAAATTTCCGAGCCCAAAATTTTGCCAGGGCTGCTTGGACATTATTGAACTCAGTGGCATTTAAATTGAATGGAGAGTAGAAAAAGAAAGATGCAATATATACATATATCAAATCATTATGTAGTACACCTTAAGATTATACAATGTTATATGTCAATTATATTTCAATAAAATTGGAAAAAATAAAATTAAAAATAAATTTTAAAAAAGAAAAGAAAGGAGGGCTTCCCTGCTGGCGCAGTGGTTGAGAGTCTGCCTGCTGATACAGGGGACACGGGTTTGTGCCCCGGTCCGGGAAGGTCCCACCTGCCTCAGAGCGGCTGGGCCCATGAGCCATGGCCGCTGAGCCTATGCGTCCGGAGCCTGTGCATCTGAGTAGAGGGTAAAGAAACTCCTAAAGGGAGAGTAGGATACCCTTCTCTTTACTGAGGGAAATCTTTAGCCAAAATTTAAAAAATCTTTATTTTTATGAAGTAACAAATATAAAAACTCATTGGTAAGTATAAATATTGACAAAGAGAGCAAATCCATGAAATGGCCAGTATCTAAAGATCATCTTAGAAAAAAAGGAGACGTGGTAACTTGGCAGCAAAGACAAGCAGATGAACAACCGTGCAGGAAATTATTTGGTTCTAGACTGACTTTTCTGGTATTTAGGTGTAAGTTCAGTAGGTTATTTCAAGCCAGCTGAGATAACGGGAGAACGTATTTAACCCAGCGACCCCGGCTGCGGAGTAACTAGGGCGGAAGAATCTGATGCGACCTGACTTCTAGGTGTGCCCAGAGTAAAGGACTGGGGTGGGAGCGGTGGTGGTGGTGGGGGGGGCAACCACCAAAGTGACCTCAGCAGACAAGCATGTTCAATCATTTCTTGTTTTGCTTCACCATTCTGAGTTCCAAGAATCCATAAAAACCATAGTCATCTGTACAGAGCAACATGAGGTAGCAAAACTTACAGAGAGAGGGCTCAAAAATACAAAAGTTTTAGGAAAGTTAAGTTCATACAACTCAGACAATATAAAAGTTAAGTTTTTCCAATAAGGGTTAACACCACATTATTCATATACAATTCACTCCGTTCTGAACGTAAAATTGTAGATGAAATGAAAAATAGAATTAAAACAATGTGTTTACTGGATCGTTTGAATTTTACTATTGTGAATATTCTAGTTCCATTTGTATTTAATTACTTAAGAAGAATAGAGGAAGCCATGTTAGTGAAAGAAATGTTGATCTTTACGGAGAAATGTAAGATCCGTAATAGCATCATCAGTATAATTAAAATACTATTTCAATATTTACAAAACTAATATAAATTTTTTCCTTAACGTCTCTTTTTAGTCTAGAAAGCAGCTGTTGTTCCTCAGATACCAGTCTCTTAGACTTTTCCCTTAGTGTTTTTTTTTTCCTCATTTACTTTATTTTATATTTTTTTTTAACATCTTTATTGGGGTTTAATTGTTTTACAATGGTGTGTTAGTTTCTGCTTTCCCTTAGTGGTTTTGAGTTTGGTGTCTACGAGATTCTTAGATAGTGGGGAAATGACTCCCCAAATTTGTATTTCAAAAGTAGTTTAATAATTTTGTTGAAAATGAAAAAAATATTACTTTCACATTGAAACTTTTCTTTCTTGTTCTTATATGCACAGGAGGGGGAAAATTATGTAAACATTCTTTTTTTTTAAAATATCTGTTTATTTGCCTGCACGGTGCGGCACACCAGGGATCAAACCCCACGCCCTGTATGGGAAGTGCGGAGTCTTAACCCCTGGACCACCAGGGAAGCTCCCTATGTAAATGTTCTGAGTGAAAAGGATATTTGGTATTCTAGTAACTGTGCAACAAATTATTTTAAAAGTTGAGGTAGACTGTACATTTAAAAATAGTTAAATTTTACACTATGTTTATTTTACCACAAAAAAAATTGAAAAACATTAAGGTAGAATTAGACTTATAGATAGGCAGTGCGTTTTTTTTCTTATAAAATCATATATTTATTTATTTTGGGCTGCGTTGGGTCTTCATTGCTGCGCTCGGGCTTTCTCTAGTTGCAGCGAGCAGGGGCTACTCTTTGTTGCGGTGCGCGGGCTTCTCATTGCGGTGGCTTCTCTTGTGGCTTCTCTTGTTGTGGAGCACGGGCTCTAGGTGCGCAGGCTTCAGTAGTTGCAGCACACAGGCTCAGCAGTTGTGGCTCCAGGGCTCTAGAGCACAGGCTCAGTAGTTGTGCCGCA